AATACCATATCGAAATATTTAAATGTTTGACTAAATAGGATATTTCGACTAACAACATTAGATAAGTCAAAATTTGCATTATTCACAATAATTAGATATACAGTCGGACCTCCCTAAGTGCATCCCTTCGGGACCATAGGAAAAAAACTAAAAAGCGTACACTTAGAGAGGGTGTGCATTTATAGAGAGCAAAGCATATAGAGCTCTTATAAGCTGAGACTGGGTTATACCGTGCATTTAGAGAGAATTTACATAATCCGTGCACTTAAGATTCGGATGATCCAATCACCGCCTTTCTATTTGCCAATCACCACTAGTTTCACATGATCCTACACCGTTTTAGACGATCCCGTTTTCGGTACTATCTGGTACTATCTGTCGTAAAATAGCTTTCGAAAATTATCATAATTTATTAAATGACCGAAGAAACTCATAACGCGCCCGTTGAACCAAACGCAGTTGAAGAGCCATTGGATTTGGTCCGTTTATCACTTGATGAACGAATATATGTGAAATTACGCGGGGATCGAGAATTACGTGGAAAACTCCATGTAATACTTTTCTGTTTCTTTGTAAATGAGCAATTTCTATTAGGCGACAATGATAACGAACCTTTTATTTAAATTATGATAATCTTGCGGTACATTTCATTAATTTGATAGGCATACGATGGTCATTTGAATATGGTTTTAGGGGACGTCGAAGAAACTATTACAGTCGTAGAAATCAATGAAGAAACTTACGAAGAAGTGATTCGTGTAAGTGAATAGACGAAATGTAAACCGAATCTTATTGGCATTTATTTATTTATTTTGATCCTTTTTTAGACGGTGAAAAGAACATCAGAAATGTTATTTGTACGCGGTGATGGTGTAATCTTGGTAAGTCTTTTTATATCTCTTTAGTAATTCCTTCGCATAACGTTATGTAAACCATGAATTGCTTTAAAGGTTTCTCCACCGGTCAGAACTGGCGCGTAAATTACGATTTATTAATATCTAAGAGATCATAGTGTACTATATAATAATTCAATTAAGGTATTCATTCCAATAAATAAGCATTATCATCATCTTCATTTCTGTTGTTCTATACCAATAAAGTGGCTGTTATAACTTTTTGACATAAAGGCAAGCACTCATTATGTCCGTAAGGCATAGTTATTGACTTCCAATGGACATTTAAGTTTATACTTCTGAAAGGTCTTTACAACGCGAACTTTCTACACATACCACATTTCCCTATGGCAAATTTTACAATTTCATTCTAATTTCACAATATATATAAATATATATATATATAGTTGAATATAAAAATTCAGAGAAACTACCTAATATCGATATAGATGAGACTACTTGCATAAATTTTATTCATTACGTCATATAATTGAAAGCCCGAAATCTCATTTTTCCTTGACTAGATCATGCTTTCTAGTACAAATGGAAATAATATATACCAGTGATAAGTGTGAGAGATTTTTCAACATGTTAAGTCTGCATGTTGATGTTGATTATAGTAGTTACATTGTCGTGGAATCGTAGTTAAGGTTAAGTTCAATTTTACTTTTACTAAGTTTTCTAAAAGTTGAGTTTTCCTTTTGAATGAAATAATTCTTTTTGATGCTTTACTTTCTATCTAAGACCAGATCACAACAACCTGTAAACATAATTGTTGTATTAAGACCACAAAAAAAAAAGAATCGCTTTTACAATTAGATCATATGACTAACGATGAGGTTTATAGCAGTAGATTAGGGAAAGTCTCCGGACACCTACCAGTCTTACCAATTCGGGTAATTTTTGTACCTACAGGGACACGTAAATTTTTCGAATTTTTTGCACAAGTTACATATGAAAATAAATCACATGAGAATGATGTTATTGGCTCAAGACAAATAACATTAATGGTAAGCGAATATTCTACGGACAGAGCTTAGAGACAGAGCAGGACAGAGCAGAATCATGTGATTGGTTAATTAGCGGTTAGGGTTTATGGATTCGGAAAGTCTACGGTAGGGTGTCCAGGATTATGATCCGGTATAATATGCTATGAAATCGCATAATCCGCTCACTTTCATGCAGCATGTGAACAAAAATTGATTGGTTAAATGAATAAACCGGTGACTGTAATCACCTGACTTGTCGTTCTTTTGAAATTTTATTGGCTAATAACTCAAAATTCGCATAATTCGCATAATTTGCAATTTACCGGATGCATAATTTGGATCTAGGGTGTCCAGGATTATGCGATGCTGCGATATGCGCATAATTTGCCATTTTTCGCATCGCATATGCTTCGCGTAATTAAGGAAAAAAGGCATAAAATGCACGTGGGTGAGATGTGATTGGTGGAAGTGGCGAAAATTTCGAAAACTTCCGATGCCGTAAGTCCGGAATATTTCGAAGATTTCGCATAATTGACCAAATCTAAATAAGAAATCGCATAATTCGCATCCATAATTTGACCTCGATCGCACGTATAATTTACTCTATTGTATCGCATAATTCTGAACACCCTATTTGGATTATCCCTTAAATGGTAAGCAATTGCAGGCAAATTTGCCTGCAATTATTACTATAAATATATCTTTGATTTATTTTTTTAAATATTTAAAATATTTAAATAAAATTTAATATAATAATATTTGAAAATAAAGATTATATTTTTGTAATATTTGTATTTAAATTATAAGAAAAAAATTGTAGTTAGTTATATAACTAAAATATACAATTTTCAAAAAAAAATTTAATAAAAAAAAAATTTTAGTTTATCTATGATGAATTTTTTAAATATTAATTTTAGACTTGTTATTATTAATACAATTTTTTAGTTTATATAAAGGATGACAATTTTGATTATTATAAGTTTTGTGATTTACTTGTAAAAATTAATACTTATCTTAGAAGCAAAAATTTTTTCTAGCTTCGAGAACATATAAAATTTTATAAAATTTAAAAAATTTTTAATAGTAAACTCTAAAGTTATACAAACTTTAAACTTTAATAAATTAAAAAATTTTTAATAATTTAAAAAAATTTTTATAATAAAGTTAATTAAATATGTTTCAAATAATATATTTTATAAAGCAAAAAATTTTTAAATTATTAATACTTAATTTTCTTTAAAAAAATTAATTTTTTTTTAAAATTGCAGGCAAATTTGTCTGCAAAACCTTTTAAGGGATAATAAATATATAGAAAAAGATACTAAAAATATAATATATACTAAAATAATAATAAGAGATAATAACTAATAGAAAAAATAAAAAAAAGAAATTCTATTACAATATATTTGCTTCTCTTCTTTTAGATGTGGTATCATTTTTTTTTATATATATTTTACTGCTATTTTTTTTTCTTCTAGGTGTGAATTCACCATTGAAGCTATTATTACCAGAGATTTTAAGTAAGTTTTTTGTCTTGATGTCGATTTCTTTTTTTTTTTATATTTACTACTGCTTCTCTTTCTTTTGAGTTTGATTTTACTGTTGGAGTAATTGTTACTGAAGTTATTGAAGTCACTATTTTCTTTGTCTTGGGGCATTTTTTTTCTTATATATTTGCTTCTCTTCTTTTGAGTATAGTGTCATTTTTTTTTATATATATTTTACTGCTGTTTTTCTTTCTTTTAGGTGTGAATTTGCTATTGAAGCTGTCATTACTGAGATTTCAAGTAAGTTTTTCATCTTGGTGTCGATTTTTTTTTTTTTATATTTACTACTGTTTCTCTTTTTTCTGAGTTTGATTTTGTCACTAGATCTGTTATTACTGGAGTTATTAGAGTCACTATTTTCTTTATCTTGGGGCAGTTTTTTTTTCTTTATATATTTGCTTCTTTTCTTTCAGGTATAGTATTATTTTTTTTTATATATATTTTACTGCTGTTTTTCTTTTTCAAGTATAAATCGCTATTGAAGCTATCGTTACTGAAGATTTTAGTTAAGTTTTCATCTTGATGTCGATTTCTTTTTTTTATATATTTACTACTGCTTCTCTTTTTTCCAAGTTTGATTTTGCTATTGGAGTCACCATTTTTTCTGTCTTGGGGGCGGTTTTTTTTTCTTATATATTGCTTTTTTTCTTTTAGGTATAGTGTTATTTTTTTTCTTATATTTTACTGCTATTTCTCTTTCTTCCAGGTGTAAATTCACTATTGAAGCTGCTGTTACTAGAAATTTTGAGTAAGTTTTTTGTCTTAGTATTGATTTTTTTTTTTTTTTTATATTTACTACTGCTTTTCTTTCTTCTAGGTTTGATTTCACTATTGGAGTCACCATTTTTTTCATTTTGGAGACATTTTTTTCTTATATATTTGTTACTAAATATCAGAAACTTACTTTAGAAATAATAGATTTTATCAAAAACTATATACTTTGTAATCTTAATATTTTTTAAAGATTCAGTTATTATATAAGTTATTTTCTAAAATAAAGTTATAAATTTTGATATAAAGAATAATATATATAAGGTTTACTAGAATTATAAAATACACTTGATCTCCGTTAATATCAACCTCATTAATATCAACCTCCTGTTAATATCAACCTTTTATTTAGACAAAATAGACTCAGGTATATAAAAACTATCCTGATATTATCATTCCTCGCATATATCAACATAATTGTCCAATCCAAATAGGTTGATATTAATGAGGGTCAAGTGTATAGAGTAGTAAAGCAGCAAATCTTCTTCAACACTTAAGAAAAAATATATTAAAGATTCTGATTAGTATATTTAATTATTAATTTATTTTAAAGCAAATAGATTACAGAGTATATTTTATATATTACTTAAATAATGAGAACTTTAGTAGAAATATACAAATATAATTTTAAATAATAATACAGCATCAACTAATATCTATAACTTACTATTAAATATTTTTACTATTATTGATAATAATTTCAAATTAAAAAAAATTATATATTAAAATAAAATTAGATTAAAATAAAATTAAAAACCTTTCTTGCTTATTCTTAAAGCTTATAAAATCTATATATACTCTTTTATTAATAACTTTAATTCTAAATCTAACTTATAATACTAAAAAAACTCTTAAAAATATTCTCTAAAAAATTTTAAATTTTTTTAAAAATTAAAAAATTTTGGTTTAAATTAATTTTTTTTTTGCTTCACTTAGGCAGATCACACCAGTACTTTTATTTAATCAAGTTATATTCCTGTGGAGAGAGTTGAATATTAAAACTACAGGTTTGATATCTTGCAGTTATTTCACATAATTTAATGAATTATCTATATATACTTACAAGTGACCACACTATACTAGTAAGATATAATCAATTAAGATAATATCCGCCTGGAGCTCATTTGATCACTACTTTACAATAGAATATTTCTAATCTGATGATATTCTCTTTTAGAAAAGTAAAAAAAAGAAAAAAAATTTATAAAGCAATACAAAGGTATAGAGGAATATATAAAAAAAACAAATAAAAGAAAAAAAGAGAATAAGAGTAAAATAAGAAAAACTAAACAAATATGAGATTTTTCATCTACCAGACAATCACAATTATAAGCCTGTATCAGACTCTTTAAAAATTATATACTACTATCTAAACTATTCTCTACAATAATTTATATTCATAGTATGTTTAAACTTAAAACCTAAAAAAAAAACAAAAAAAGGAAAGCTTCTTCGACATTAGTACTGTAGAGAGATCAGAAAATCATACTATTGGGCTCAAAATATTATTTTTCTGGGTTGCCACATTTGAGGCATATAATTTACATGTCTATGTTCTATTTGCATCTATATGTTTGCTATAACAGATAAAAAAGTAAATACTGCTCAATTTGAAAAGTAAACAACACATTAATTTTTTGGAGAGGTAAGCTAGATTACTCACTTTTTACAAAATTTTCTTCAAAGAAAAGTGAGAGACCAACAAAAATATGTGAGGTTCTTCTATAAGTTTTATAGTTATATAGTTGGTTTTACAAGTTTATATATCTCAGCAAGAGTC